GTGTGTGTGCGTGTGTGTGACGGCCCAGTGATTGTCGTACCTTACACTAAGCCATACGTGATTCCTTTCTTTTAAATCATAGTAATGTCAAACCTCATACAGGTCGACTTGAGATGAACCGCTTGAATATAAAGCAATGCATGTTCTACTGACTAGAATCCGATCAGGAATGCTTGGGACACTCTGAACGACGCATGGCGCGAATGCAATGCCTCCACTTACTGTAAGAGACTGTATGCCTTAAAAAGTGGAACTGTATTCCCCAAAAGTTTTATCGATTACTTTATATCGTCTATGAAAAACAAGTGTGCGGCTTTGATTTGAAGTAACATGAGGGCTATTGGTGACGGACCTCGGGAATTTTAACCTCTGTCAAGTGACGAAGATGACACCTGGGCTGGTACTCCACTCTTCAAGATTTCACACCAAGACAACTTGAAGACTTTGAGCCTTGATAGAGCTAGCGTGCATCAGGTCCTCTACATGGTAGGTCTTCAGTGGCACCAGAACTCGAACATCCAACTTGACAACGCAAACCCCAAATTTGAGACTATGACCATATCAGTATGGGGCAGCTTTAGCTGTGTTCGGAGGGATCACATACTATATTAAACATCCTGTATCCTTTTTTAAACAATTTTTTGTCATTTATATGTAACCAAATTGCTGTTCTGAAGCATGTTTTCGCGTTTTTTTTCCTTCGCTTTAAAAAAATAATGCTAATACATAAATTTTATTGCATCTTCTACATTTTTGTACATATGTACTTTCCATTTTGTGACCATACATGGCTGTCTCGCATACTTTTCTTCACTTCTTTACTTGCTCTTTTAATATTGTTTAACAGTATATAATATCTATATGCGTTGTCCTGAAAATCTTGCTATTTCCCAAAAATCCTAAATCCCAGGAAAGACATCGTAAATGTGGTGGCTTTTTGTAGAATTGGGATTTGTCTAGGAAGACAATTTCATGCTATTTTTTTACCCATGTCCAGCGTTCTACGCGCTATTGCAGCATCATATAACCATAGTGTACAGTCAAAGATAACCGCAACAATAAACCTTTCCAGAAATTTCCTTCTGCAACACAGACGGCGTCGAAAGGTAAGAAATGACACACAAATCGCTGTTCAACAGACCCTTATTCTATAACTGGGTTTTCGGCCCACCAGTGTAATCCATCACTATCCTCTCAGTGATGTGACGAGGTTGGTGCAATCCATTTTTCCTACCCCTTCTGATTTTATACATCACATCATTATGGTTTGATTTCATCCAACACACAAGAATATCAATTTCTCGAAAGTAGAAACCGCAATCTAAAATCGTATTATAAGCTAAAATTCTTCCTTTGTCACACTCAGATAAACGCCCGACCGACTTTCGTATTCTTCTTTTAGGCATACTAAAGCTTCTTACATAAAGAAATATAGTGGAAAACATAATTCCAGTACACGTAACACCCGTACAACAAGGGGATTAAGTTGCAAAATACTGAAGTGTTATGCGAATCCTTGTTATATGAAACAAAGATGTAAAAAATGGTGGGTACGTTCCAAAAGTATGAAAAGGCAAGCTTTTGTATGTTCCTAATTAAGATAAATATCTTTAAGTTTTCTTTAATAGTTCAAAGTAATATCAGTTTAAAATGTTTTCTTCCTTACCACTATATTTATAAGCACTATTATCTCTCTCTCTTTCTCTTTCTCTCTCTCTTTCTCTTTCTCTCTCTCTCTCTCTTTCTCGCTATTTATCTTTCAAAAACATTCTTTTTTTTTGTTCGCCAGACATAGATAAGAAGTACACATTGATTCATAAAAATGAAAACCTAATTATTTCTTAAAGAAAAAAAGGTTGAGTACTAGTTACCCGCAATTTTTTAATTTACTTAGCTAAAGAGAGACACGATTTAAGTTTTAAAGTGTACTTAAGTATTAATAATATATGTGTACTTAAGTATTATAATAGGATAAGTGCACTTAAGTATTAAGTGTTTACGAAAATTCTGCAGAAAAATCCGGTGGTACATATGCACTCAGATGATAAATGACAAATTAGGTATCTTTTGCACGTGATAGCCTTCATCGCGCTTATTGAGCTGTTGTACAGTCTACGTGAGCTGTGTGAGCTGTTAGGCGTTTCCCTGACTACAAATTGGATGAAGCTCACTTTCAATAATTTTTGTTACATTTCATGCTGTATGGGCGGGGTGGGGGGATTCGAACTATGTTAGAGTGCATCCATGCAATAAAAGAGGCGTGTTAAAAGGGGATATTCCTAATTCTCGAACCTTTTATGAGTGAATCTGTTGTGATATCCCCCCTTGGGAAAATATCCCTCGGAGTATCAGCGTGAGCTAGAGGCGTAGGATTAACGAAAGAACTAGAAGGAAACATAATCTTAATATATCTTTATTAAGATTTTCAACTTAAACTTCTAAAAAATTAAATTATAATAATTAATGTGAGAGATTCTACGATGGCAAAATACACAACACACAATATATATAGATAATAACGACTTAACCTAACTCGGACCACTATCAATAACTGAATCGCCTAAATTCAATTCTAATACAATCACTCATTCTAATATTAAATAGTCAATCCTACCTTGTTGCAGCCTGATGAATCAAGCACTAATATCCTTAAGGCAATCTTGTATTTATACTTGTGTGCACTGGTATGCACCTTGGTTCTCTATAACTTTATCAATTATAACTTCTAATCACCGCCACGTAACGCTAGACCAAACTTGAACCACGAACTATATTAACATTTCTCTACTTGCCGTCAACTGCCACAAATTGCCATACATTGCCATTTCACTTACTCTAAGTTCCGATATTTAAAAGCTTGTTAATTTGCATCTTTCATTCACACTTCCCTTCTTGGATTTGGTTGGAAAAGAGTTGCCATTTATTCTAGCCCAAAGAACCCAAAGGACATGTTAAAGAAAAGACGCGTGAGCCCGTCACACCATGTTATACAAATGCGGTGTTTTACGGGGTTGCATATACTTACAAACAGCCTTTTACGGTCCCAGTGTGTATGGTGTGTACGTGGACTGTGATACTAATTACTGAAATATATCGTATTAAGTTCTAAGCATTTTGTAAATTCTACTCCTATCAGATACTTCGTTAGGCTTATTTAGGTTTAGGAACTACGTGTTAATTATTCTTAGAATGAATTTAAGTATAATGTTACAAAATGTGTAAAATAAAATTTCTGTATTTTTTTATTTAAAAGTTAAGATATTCCTTCATTTTTCAACACGATTTTATAAGCTTCACTTGTATGTAACGGAATCTTTGAACTCGATTTTTACCCGTTGTAAATGGTCAGATTAATTCGAAATTTTGCGCGCTAGTCAAAGACCGATGACAATACAATAATTTCATAATTCTGTTCCATTGTTCTGATTAGGATCATCCGGAATAACGTTTTCCATATTTGGCGACTAATTCATTACACCGTTTCCAGATTTGGTGACTAAATCCATATACTGTTTCAAGAGACAGAGAGAGAGATTTGGCAACTAATTTCCGTATACCGTTTCCAGATTTGGCGACTAAGAGATTAAGTTACAACCGCATAAAAGCGAAAGCGTTTGCTTCAGCAATTTCTTACCATAATATAAAGAGTTGCCTAGTGTTTTTTGAAATTGGAAATAAAAAAAAGAACTTTGTTACGAATCTATACGGAACTTTATCACTAACCTTCTGAACCGACCTTTTTAGGGAAATTTAATTCCCTACCTATTTCCAATCAACTCCAAAAAGCGGACAGGATTCCTTGTTATGCAGATTAGATTCAGTATTTAAGTCAAACGAAATAGTAAAGTTAGAGCAGTAGGAGATAGACATTGAAACATAGAGTTATAGTGATTTTGAATTGAAATATTGTAGTTGAAGATAAATTAACCTCATGAAGAATTGAGATTCCGAGTGGTAAATATCTTTTTGAAGTTAAAGTCTCACTCAAGTTTTAAGAGTCGGATTAAAGTTAAATGTTCATTAAGAAAATTATTGAATATAATTCTGGGATCTCTTATCGTGGTAATTTCTGCGTGATCGTTATTTAATGAATTAATTAATTAGATCATTAATTAATTGAGTTAATTTAAAGGATATTATCTTTAAAACCTCATAATATTCGTATTATTATTGTTAATAAGTCTTTGATTCTATTTGGGAAAGATAACCAAATAAAGAAAGTTATTTATAATAATGGCTACTGGTTCTTTTATGTCTCATAATTATTCTAGTTCTCAAAGTGAGGTCCCCAGAGACTATCACAACTTGTGTATGAGGAAATAAGATAATTTGTTCTAACTCAGAGATGGGCAAACTTTTTCGGTCGCTAGTATTATATTAAGAATTATTTTTTTACACACACACACACACAAGCTTTTATTTAACTTGCAATGTAAAATGTGTTCGGGAGGAATCTTGCTACTCAATTTTGAAGCAGATGTCTTCAACCGATTGTGCTAAAATTTTATATATACGTTTAGTTTGGATGACAATGCATGTTTTAAGGATTTATATTCCGTTATCGGCGTGTAGTTACTGTAACGATCTTGTTCAGGTGTTAAAGTGAGCATGTTTAGAATAACAAAGGTGTAGACCGGGAGCGTAGCTCAGATGGTAGAACGCTCACTTAGCATGTGAGAGGTACGGCGATCGATACCCCGAGCGTTCAATAATTTTTTTTTCGTGTGAAACATTTTTGAAATTCAATTGATTTGTAAAACGGGATATTTTATACAATACTTCTACTCAGCATACGTAAAAAGTATGTTCCTTTTACTGTTCTAAATGGAACACTAAGAAAGACAGATCTATCAAGCTATTTCTATTTACTTTGAAGCATTCTATGATATGTTTTTACTCGATTCTAGTTTCTCCCGTAACACTTTTAATTGACCTAGTTACTGTAATGATCTTGTTCAGGGATTAAGGCGAGCATGTTTACAGTAACACAGGTTTTGACCGGGAGCGTAGCTCAGATGTAGAGTGCTCGCTTAACATGCGCGAGGTACGGGGAGATCGATACCCTGCGCCTCCAACTATTATTTTTTCATGTAAAATATTTTTGAAATTCTATTGATTTGTACAACGAGATATTTTATAATGCTACCACTCTGTATACGTATAAAGTATGTTATATTTTACACACAAGCTTTTATTTAACTTACAATGTCAAATGTTTGGGTGGAATTTTGCAACTCAATCTTGAAGAGAGCTGGTGTCTTCAACCGATTGTGCTAAAATTTTGTATACACATTTAGTGTGGATGACAAAACCCGTTTTGATTATTTGTATTCCGATATAGCAATTAGTTAAAAAGATATTAATTGAAAATCTTTTACCCCTGTTAGCTTTTTATTCTGCCGAGCAGCTTATAGATTGAGCTTAAAGAAGTTTAGATTTTTTTCAACCTTTTTCAAAACCATCTTTTTTTTTCTTTCAAACTGAGACAAAAAATAATTATCTAATCGGAGAGATCATTTATTTTGCCACGATACGTATAATTCTTTTTATAAAATAATATTTTCTATTTTTTTTTACAATTTTTTTAAAATGAGCGAAAATCGATGCTTTTTCATGAAAGTGATTTCTAAATCACTCCGTAGGAATTTTTTTTCATGTTATTCAATCGATATTCTGCAGTAAGAAAGTTCAGGCTTTTCTATTTTAGAATCAGTCATTTAAATAATAAAATGCCTAAATAATAATTTTTTTAAGATTTTTCAAAAATACTTTCATTTTTAATAAAACTTTTAAAATTTCTGTCATTTCTAAATATACTGCACGAAAATATTTTTTTGTTTGTAGAATAGTATTATTCAAGTTTTGCACAAAAAATTGAAAAATATGGTTTAAAATTACGGATTAAAAAAAAGTAATTGTGTTTTTCGTTTTTAATATAGTATTATAGTAAAAACAAAACAAAAAAATAGTTTTAATGTTTTAATTAATTTTGCTTTGTCCAATGTTGTTTTTGTCTAACAGTGTTTATCCCCCTCTTCCCATTATCCTCTTGTTACGTCTCGAGTGAAATATTTATCATATATACGTGGCCAGACGGGAAAAAAAGGTTGAGTAGTCCTTAGCTGAACTGTTTAAAATTATTCGGCAAACGACCTTGCAACATTGATGCGCTGAATGAGA